TCGGCCGCGCGCGCGCGCGCGGNGGGGGCGCCGGGGCGCGCGCGACCTCGGCGCCGCCGCGGTCGTGCGCGGCGCGCGAGCCCTCGCGCGGCGCCGCGGCCGCGCCGCGCGGCGCGGCCGCGAGCGCCGCCCGGCACTCCGCGAGGACCGCGGCGACGCGCGCGTCGACGCCGTCGCGCTGGTCGTCGCCCAGGCCGCCGCCGCCCGGACCGGGCGTCGCGTAGGCGACGGCCACCCGCCGCAGGGTCCGCTCGCAGCGCCGAATCCCGCGGACGACCAGGGCGGCGCGCCGGAGCTGCGCCGACGGCGGCGGCGGCGGCGGCGGCGGCGGCGCGGCGGCGCCCGACCGCGGGCACCCGCGCACGAGCCCGCGGAACCGCTGCGTAAGATCCTCGGCCATGCCGCTGCCTCCCCGGTCCCCTGCAAGCGCGAGCGACGCGTTCACGACGACGTCTCCGGGCCCATGTGATGCCTCAAGGGGCACGGTATCTGATCGTCGTGGTTGCGCGCGTCCGAGGCCTCTCTACGCGCTCAAATCTCCACACACTTCAGCGCTGGCGGCAGTGCATGGTGAAGCTCCCTTGCATCCATGACGAAGTGCGCACTTATCCAGGGGGGTTCGCGGGGTACCTCGGCGAACCCAGTGGACGAAGTAGGCTGCGAAGCGCAATGTTTCATCGTGAAGCCTAGTTTGAACCACCGCTCAAGTGTAGGTACCGCCCCTAAGCTAGGATCCTCTGCGTCTGGGCGGCGCCCGCCCTCGGCGCGGCCGCGGGCCTAGGCGCCGGCCGCGGCCGCGCCGTCGCCCGTCGTGCCCGACGCGGTGACCTCGAAAATGTAGTCGTATTGCCTGTGTGGAAATCAACCATAAGTTTGGGACGCCCCCACCAAACTTTGAAATTCTCTAGCTCGGTCAAATCGAAGTCGATTCGGCTGATTTTTGGACGAATCGATTGCTCTCGTCGAGTTCTCGAAACACAGCCGAAGAGCTTGTGTCGAACCTTTCGAATACGCGCACATTAAAGTCGCGTTGAAGATTTGATTTGTACGCAGGTATTGCATTTCGGAGTTCTCCCACTTCTCGTTCTTCGTGCCCGTGTGGCGGAAGCCGCAGTCGCCGCGCTGGCCGTAGGCGCCGAGGGGCTCGCCGTCGTCCGCGCCCGAGGCGAAGCCGTCGAGGCAGGCGCAGATGCCGATCTCGCGGTTGCAGATGCCGTTGGCGCTGCACTCGACGTCCTCCTTGGTGCCCTTGGTGACCTCCGTGACGTTGACGACGACGTCGTGGCGGAGGTCGTCGGCCTCGGACACGACGAGGAGCGGGAGGTCGCCGTGCTCGGAGAGGAACTCGACGTAGACGCGCTGGCCCGGGCCGCAGACGGACGCGTTGTAGGACACGTTGCGGAGCGAGACGGCGACGTCGCGGATCGTCGGGAGCGCCTCGAGCCTCGCCTCGAGCTCCGCCGCGGAGGCCCACCAGGGCACGCGGACGGGCTCGGGCGCGCCGCGGAACGTGACGTTGAAGGCGCCGTCGGTCGCGAGGGAGCAGTTGAGCGCCTGGACCTCGTTGACGCCCCACGTGTAGGGGTTGTCGCCCGTCGGGCAGAACGCGTGCGAGCACTGGTAGCCCGTCCAGCCCGTGTACGTGTACGCGAAGGGCCCGCGGTACTGGAGCTGGTTCACCGGGTCCGCGCCGAAGTCGTGCGTCGGGTAGTCGGAGGTCGACGCGTGGCACTTGCAGCCCGTGACGAGGTCCGCGTCCCAGGGCTCGCTGTAGTTGACGCGGCGCACCTCGCCGTGGTCGCCGAAGAGGAGCGCGTTCTGCGCGAGCTCGGCCATCGTCGCGCAGTGGCCGAAGGCGCCGCACTCGCGCGTCGAGTTGACCTCGCAGGCCATGTCGCCGCACGCGTCGCCGCCGACGACGCCGAAGTCGTCGTCGCAGTCGCAGTTGCCGCTGGACCGGTCGCAGAGGCCCTTGTTCGAGCAGGTCGCGCCGGGCCGGTGCGCGTCCCCGGGGTCGTCGCCGACGGCCTCGCCCCACCACGCGCGGCCCGTCGGGCACGTCTTGTACTCGCACGCGCTGCCCTCGTAGCCCGCGGTGCAGTTGCAGAACTTGTCCGCGTCGCAGACGCCGACGCCGCTGCAGACCGTCGGCGGCAGGTTCGTGTTCCAGAGGGGCGTCGCGCGCGGGCAGGGCCCCTCGGCGCCGCCCGCGGCGTCGGCCCAGCGCGCGTAGTCGCGCGGGTACTCGTAGGCGACGGACGCGTTCGGGGAGAGGTAGCCGCAGTCGGCGACGAGGCCCGCGCCGCCGCGGCCGTCGCTGGACCCGAAGCCCGTGTAGCAGTCGCAGACGCCGACGGACCGGTCGCAGACGCCGCGGTTGCTGCACTCGGCGCGCTCGCGCGTGCCGGCGACGGAGCACACGGCCGCGTGGACCGTCGAGCACGCGCCGTCGACGGCGAGGCGCACGTCGGCCCGCCGGCCCGGGCCGTAGGTCGTGCCCTCGATGGCCCAGGTCGCGTTGAGCGCCGGCAGGTCGCCGCGCGTCGTCAGGAACGTGATCGCCGCCGTCGTGCCCGCGTCGCTGCAGAGCGACCCGTCGAGGCCGCCGCCGTAGTAGGCGACGTCGACGTCGCCGAGCGTCGAGAGCCGCTCGAGGTGGAACTCGAGGAGCTCGGCCGTCGCGTCCGCGGGGATGGGCGCCGTGCGCTGGCCGCGGAAGGCGAGCGCGATCGTGCCGTTGCCGCAGCCGCCGGGCTCGCCGCAGTCGCACGTGAGGAGCTGGACCTCGTCGACGCCCGCCGTGAGGGGGTCGTCGCCCCGGGGGCACTCGCGCTCGCTGCAGTCGTAGCCCGCGAAGCCGGCGTCGCACGCGCAGCCGTAGATCATGGACGCGTCCCAGCCGTCGTACGCGGCGTCGTGCTCGAGCGACACGTAGTCGACCTGGGCCGCGGCCTCGGCCATGGACAGGCAGGTCCCGACGCCGAAGCACTCGAGGGGCGCGCCCCCGGCGAGGCGCGCGCCGTGGGGGCAGCGCATGCGCTGGCACGCCTCGCCGGCGAAGCCCGCGCGGCACTCGCAGAGGCCCGACTCGCGGTCGCACGAGCCCATGTTGCTGCACTCGAAGTGCGCCGCGTGCGCCGTGTTATTCGCCGTCGCGTAGTCGCTCCAGGCGACGCCCGCCGGGCAGATCCGCAGCGAGCAGTCGGCGCCGCCGTAGCCGCCGTCGCACGCGCAGGTCTCGTCGACGCCCGGCGCCACGCCCTCGGCGCAGTGGCCGTGGCCGCTGCAGACCTCCTCGTTCAGCAGGCCCAGGGGGCACGCGGCGGCGGCGGCGAGCGCGGCGAAGCGCAGGCGCCGGAGCATGCCGGGCGACGCGACGCCGAGGTCCGGCTCGGCGCCGCGGGCAGCCCCGGCGACGCGGGCAGCCCCGGCGACGCGGGCAGCCCCGGCGACGCGGGCAGCCCCGGCGGCGGCCTGCGCGCCGACGGCGCGCGCGGACGACCGGCCGGCCGCGCGCGGAACGGCGCGGTGGCCAACGGCACCGCCCCCGACGCTCCGCGAGGTGCCGGCGCGCGCAGTAATGTACTAGATTGCAGTCCAGGTATCCTCCGTGGGCATTGATTTGTGGCAGCGGCCACAAAGAGCGCTGGTTGCCGCCTGCGAGCGTGCCGCCCCGGGGTGGTGTGCCGGTCCGCGTCCCCGTCCGCCGCGCGCCCCGGCGTCCCCGTCCTCGTCTCGCCCCGCCGATGGGTCCGCGCGACAACGATGGCGCCGCGCGAACGCCGAGGGGTGGCTCCGAAGGCGGCATGGAGGCGCCCCCCGACGGCGCCCGCGCCCCCGACGGCGAGGCCAAGTGGATGACGCTGACCTGGTTCCTGCGGCCGGACCGCTACGAGGGCGAGGTCGTCGACGGCCACATGCACGGCAAGGGCACGTACTGGCACGCGGACTCGAGCCGCTACGAGGGCTCGTTCGCGCGGTCGCAGCGCCACGGCTACGGCGAGTACTTCTTCGCCGACGGCTCCTACTACAAGGGCGAGTACAAGGGCGGCGCCAAGGACGGCTACGGCGTCTTCGTCTACCGCGACGAGACGCGCTACGAGGGCACGTTCGCGAACAACGTCAAGGAGGGCCAGGGCATCATGTACTACGCCGACGGGAGCAAGTACGTCGGCGACTACCACAACGGCATGATGGACGGCCAGGGCGAGTACGTCTGGCCCAACGGCGTCAAGTACGTCGGCGAGTGGCGCGCGGACGAGCGCCACGGCTTCGGCCAGATGTTCTTCAGCGACAACGAGCCGGCCTACCGCGCGCGATGGGAGCACGACCAGCGCGTCTTCACCTGACGCGCCGCCGCCGCCCCCTAACATATCCCGCCGGCGGGATATCTTGAAGACGAACACGAAAACGGCGTTGGAAATCTGAGCCATGACACTCGCGGTAAAGTGCGGCTCGCACCGGGCGTCTCTCTGCCGCCGTTCCTCGTGAGCGCGCTCTGCATTCTAGCTCTGCATGCCCTCGGCGAAGCACGAGTTCATGGCGACCTGGAAAGGCGCGGAGTTCACCCACTTTCGATAAGGCGTTCGATCAATACTAGCTCAAAATCTCCACAAGACCACCACACCCATAAGCGATGCGCCGCTAGCCGCCGCCGACGAGCATCTGCGGCCCCGCGAGTGCGACAGCCGCCGTCTTTGAAGCGGGCTCGTCGATGTCGTCGGCGGCGCCGAGCCTGCCCCTGCCCCGGTTCCTGGGCGCCGTCGCGCTGGCCGCGGCGGTCGTCTGCATCCTGCTGCGGCGCCGGCGCCGGCGCTGGGACCCGCGGAGCCCGCTCTGCGGGCGGCCCGAGTGGACGATGACGCGGGCGCTGCGGCGGGGCGCGTCCTACGCGCAGAGCGCGGTCATGGGAAGCCTCGCGGCGCCGATGACGACCCAGGTCGGCGGCCACATGCCCTCCGCGGGTTCCGGCGCGGGCATGCTCGCCGTCGGCGACCGCGACCGCAAGGGCTTCGGGGGCCTCGGCGGCGTCGTGCTCAAGCCCGTGCAGTCCGGCGAGCGCGGCGCGCGCGAGGTGAGCTTCTACGAGGCCATGGGCGCGCCCGGCGCGCTCTGGCGCGGGCGGCCCGTCGGCGCCGCGACGCGGGCCGAGTTCGCGGGCCTCCGCCGCTTCCTCTGCGGCTACCACGGCGTCGTCGCGCTCGGCGAGGCCGACGGCACGGAGCGGCGCTACATCGTCCTCGACGACTGCACGGCGGGCATGGCGCGGCCCTGCGCGCGCGACGTCGGGGCGGGACGAGGGTGATTCGCGTTCGCCGCGACGTGAGTGGTCCGCGCGCGACCGTTCCGGAAAACGCATCCACGCTCCGAGAACGCTCCGAGAGGTGGTCGCTCGTCCAAACATGAGCCGAAACGAGTGGACGATGACCGAGATAGCGGTCTCCAAAGTCGGGAACTTCGCTCTCTTTTCCCGCCAGGCTCGACGTCAAGCTCGGCGTCGTGACGACGGAGCCCGAGGCGCCCCCCGACAAGGCGGCCAAGGCGCGCGCCAAGTACCCGTGCCAGGCGCGCCTCGGCTGCCGCCTCGTGGGCGCGCGCGTCTGGGACGGCGCGGCCTACGCGGACTACGACAAGGCCTGGGGCTGCGGCCTCCGCGACGAGCGCGCGCTCGCGCGCGGCCTCGGCGCGTTCTTCCGCGGCGCCGGCGCGCACCGCGCGCGGCGCGCGCTCCTCGCCGAGTTCCGGGGGCGCCTGGCGGACCTGCTGGCGTGGTTCGAGCGCCACGAGGGCCTCGTCTTCATCTCCTCGTCGCTCCTCTTCGTCTACGACGGCGCGCCGCCTCGCGGCGCGCGCGCCGACGCGCCGCCGGGCCCGGCCGCGGCCGCGCGGCCGCCGCGGGCCGTGCTCAAGATGATCGACTTCGCCCACGTCCGCCACGACGGCGCGCGCGACGCCGGCTACGTCGTCGGCCTCCGCCGCGTCATCTCCCTCTTCGACGCGCTCCTCGACGAAGTCGACGACGGCGACGACGCGGCGCGCGGGCGATGACGCGGCGCCGGTGACGACCGGGCCGGGCGGCGCCGAGCGCCGTCGCATGGTCCGGAAATCACTCGTATCCGTCGCGATCCGGCCGAGCGGCGCACGGACGCGCACGGGGGGGGGGCGTAGCTGCGACCATATAGGAAATGAGCCGTAGTGATTATACTTGCCCAACGTATATACCATAAACGATGCGAGCCATTCGTTTAAAGGCCTGCATCTCCTTCAATACAAGCTGTGCGCTCAGAGCCATCAATGTCCCGGAGTTCATCATAGATTGTGAAGTTTATTCCGTCATGGGTTAGTTTTGCATATGACTCGGCCACGTGCGACGCGAGGGGTACATATCGAAGCGGCGTCCAACATTAACATATCCCGCCGGCGGGACTCGATATGGTAACATTTCCCGATTATTTCCCATCGCCGTGCCGCCGGCGGGGTATGTTGAGGATTCTGGGACTTCAACCTCATGAGGTAACCTCGCGCAAGCCCGCGCTTCCAGCAGGGCTCGCGCGTCGGGTCCATGGACGAGCTCGCGAAGCTGCAGCTCGTGTCCAAGGTCTGCGGGCGCCTCGACGAGGAGCTCGGCGTCGGCGACCGCACGCTCGCGGAGTTCGTCATCCACCTCGCCGAGACGCAGGGGACGCCGTCGGCCTTCGGCGCCGCCCTCGCGGAGAACGGCGCGGACTTCCCGGAGCCCTTCGTCGCCGCGCTCTTCGCGCTCGTCGACGACGCGCGCCGCGCGCCGGCGCCGCCGGTGCCGCCGCGGAAGCGGGGCCCGCCGAGCCCCGAGTGCGGCGCCGCGCGCGCGGCGCCGCGCGCGCGGCCGCCGCCCCGGGGCGGCGACCCCGAGCTGCACGCGATCTACGCGGGGCGCGTGACCAAGGTCGCCGAGTTCGGCGCGTTCGTCGCGCTCGAGGGCCCGACGCCGCCGCGCGAGGGCCTCGTGCACGTGTCGATGATCTCCGGCGACGGCCGCGCGCGCGACGCGGCGCGCGCGGTCGCGCGGGACCAGCGCGTCTTCGTCAAGGTGCTCGGCGTCGCGGGCTCGCGCGTCTCGCTGTCCATGCGGGAGTGCGACCAGGCCACGGGCGCGGACCTCCGGCCCGACCGCGCGGCGGCGCTCCGCGGCGCCGACGCCGCCGGCGCCGGCGGCGGCGTCGCGCGGAGCAACCCCATGATCAACCCGGGCGTGTCGCTCGGCGACCTCCGGCGCGCCGAGGCCGCGGACGCCGCGGCGGGCGGCGGCGGGCGGCGGCGGAAGCGGCTCACGTCGCCCGAGCTCTGGGAGGCGCGCCAGCTCGCGGCGTCGGGCGTCGTGCCCGCGGAGATGCTCCCGACCTTCGACGAGGAGCGGGGCGTGCTCGGCGACTTCGGCGCCGAGGAGGCGGAGGAGGAGCTCGAGATCGAGCTCAACGAGCACGAGCCGCCGTTCCTCCGGGGCCAGGGCGCGCGCGCGCGCGACGCGAGCCCCGTCGCCATCGTCGCCAACCCCGAGGGGTCGCTCCAGCGCGCCGCGCTGACCCAGGGCGCGCTCGCCAAGGAGCGGCGCGAGCTCAAGCAGGCCCAGGCGAACGCGCTCATCGACGGCATCCCCAAGGACCTGAACCGGCCCTGGGAGGACCCCATGCCCGACGCGGGCGAGCGCCACTTCGCGCAGGAGCTCCGGAGCGTGAATTTGGCGAGCTCCCAGGTCGACAGCGCCTGGAAGCGGCAGCAGCAGAAGCAGCAGCTGAGCTTCGGCCACGTGTCGAACAAGTCGCTCCGGGAGCAGCGCGCGGCGCTGCCCATCGCCGCGCTCCGAACCGAGCTCGAGGCGGCCGTCGCCGCGCACCAGGTCCTCGTCGTCATCGGCGAGACGGGCAGCGGCAAGACGACGCAGATGACCCAGTACATGGCGGAGATGGGCCTCACGGCGCGCGGCGCCGTCGGCTGCACGCAGCCGCGGCGCGTCGCGGCCATGTCCGTCGCGAAGCGCGTCGCCGAGGAGTTCGGGTGCGAGCTCGGCGCGGAGGTGGGCTACAGCATCCGCTTCGAGGACTGCACGTCGCCGGCTACCGTGCTCAAGTACATGACCGACGGCATGCTCATGCGCGAGTACCTCGCGGACAACGACCTCGGCCGCTACGCGGCGCTCATCCTCGACGAGGCGCACGAGCGGACGATCCACACGGACGTGCTCTTCGGCCTGCTCAAGGACCTCCTGGGCCGGCGGCCGGACCTGAAGCTCGTGGTGACGTCCGCGACGCTCGACGCGGAGAAGTTCTCCGCGTACTTCTTCGACTGCCCCATCTTCACGATCCCCGGCCGCCTTTTTCCGGTGGAGGTGCTCTACACGAAGGAGCCCGAGGCCGACTACCTCGACGCGGCGCTGATCACGGTCATGCAGATCCACCTGAGCGAGCCCGCGGGCGACGTGCTCGTCTTCCTCACGGGCCAGGAGGAGATCGACAGCTGCTGCGAGATTTTGCACGCGCGCATGGAGGCGCTCGGCGGCCTCGCGCCCGAGCTGCTCATCCTGCCCGTCTACGGCGCGCTCCCGGCGGAGATGCAGAGCCGCATCTTCGAGCCGCCGCCGCCGGGCGCGCGCAAGTGCGTCGTCGCGACGAACATCGCCGAGGCGTCGCTGACGATCGACGGCATCTACTACGTCGTCGACCCGGGCTTCTGCAAGCAGAAGGCCTACAACCCCAAGCTCGGCATGGACTCGCTCGTCGTGACGCCCATCTCCCAGGCGTCGGCGCGCCAGCGGAGCGGCCGCGCGGGCCGCACGGGGCCGGGCAAGTGCTACCGGCTCTACACCGAGGCCGCGCTGCGGACGGAGATGCTGCCCTGCTCCGTGCCCGAGATCCAGCGCACGAACCTGGGCAACGTCGTCCTCCAGCTCAAGGCCATGGGCATCCACGACCTCCTCGCCTTCGACTTCATGGACCCGCCCCCGCTCGCGACGCTCGTCGGCGCGATGCAGGCGCTCTACGCGCTCGGCGCGCTCGACGACGAGGGCCTGCTCACGCGCTTCGGCCGGAAGATGGCCGAGTTCCCCCTGGAGCCCCAGCTCTCGAAGATGCTCATCGCCGCCGCGGACCTCGGCTGCGCGGAGGAGGTGCTCTCCGTCGTCGCGATGCTCTCCGTCGAGCAGCCCTTCTACCGGCCCAAGGAGAAGCAGGCCCAGGCGGACGCGAAGAAGGCCAAGTTCTTCCAGCCCGAGGGCGACCACCTCATGCTCCTCGCCGTCTACGACGCCTGGAAGCGCGCCAACTTCTCGAACCCGTGGTGCTACGAGAACTTCCTCCAGGCGCGCGCGATGCGCCGCGCGGCGGACGTCCGGAAGCAGATCGTCTCCATCATGGACCGCTACAAGATGGACGTCCTCTCCGCCGGGCGGAAACTCGACCAGGTCCGCCGCGCCATCGTCGCGGGCTACTTCACGAACGCCGCGAAGAAGGACCCGCAGGAGGGCTACAAGACCATGGTGGAGGGCAACCCCGTCTACATCTGTGCCGAAACCAAATCTTCAACCCGACTTCAATGTGAGCGTATTCGAACGATTTGGACCAGACTCTTTCACTGTGCTTCGAGAACTCGACGAGAGCGATCGATCCGTCCAAAAATCAGCCGAATCGACTTTGATTTGACCGAGCTAGAGAATTCTCAAGTTTGGTGGGGACCCCCCAAACCAGTGGTTGGTTTCGGCACAGGTCTACATCCACCCGTCGTCCGCGCTCTTCAACAAGAACCCGGAGTGGCTCATCTACCACGAGCTCGTGCTCACGTCCAAGGAGTACATGCGCCAGGTCATGGCCGTCGAGCCGAGGTGGCTCGTCGAGCTCGCGCCGCGCTTCTACCGCACGGCGGACGCGGGCACGCTGTCCAAGGCGAAGCGGAGCCAGAAGATCGAGCCCCTCTACGACCGCTTCAACCCCCCGGGCTCCTGGCGCCTCTCGAAGCGGCGCGGCTAACTCCTCGATCGAAGTCTCGCGACGCGGGCGGCTACTTGGGCTGCAACTTGGGCGATGCTAACTTCAAGCTGAAGGGGCCTTGCAGCAATTTTGCGAGCCTTGGCGTCCGGCAGGCTTTGGGATGGCATTGCACATCCCTCGGTAGCGATTTTTCACCGTGTCCCCCGGTCAAAAGCTCGCGGCAGTCTCGCGGCCGCCGGACGCTGACATGGAGGCCGCCGCGGCGCGGGGGCCCGGTGGCGAGGCGCTGGCCGCCGGCGCTTGGGCGCCGTGCGCGGGCCGGCCGCCCGTCGTCGACGCGTCCCTGGACCTATGCGCGCCGTCGTGCCGCGCCGGCGGGTTCGCGTGCCTGGCGCTCGAGGCGACGGGCGGCCGCTCGCTGCTCGCCGGCGGCGTCGACGGGCGCGTGTCGCTCTTCGACGTCGGCGCGCGTACCGCGCCGCGCGCGCGCGCGTCGGCGCGCGGCGCGGCGCGCCACGCGCACTGCGTCGCCGGCGCGAGCTGGTACTGCGCGGACGGCGGCGCGTTCGCGACGTGCTGCGCGGGCGGGCGCGCGCGGTTCTGGGACGCGGCGCGCCTCGAGCCCGTCGTCGCCTGGGCCCTCGGCGGCGCGGCCGGCCGCGACTGCGCGTGCGCGCCCGCGGCCGCGGGCCCGCTCGCGGCACCTCGCGCCGC